TAGGTATATGTAAAAAATGCCGGTAGTGTTTAGTGTTAAGGATCATTAAGAATTATCCAACGAATATATCACGAATAGATTCACTTGTCGTGGTCCATGCGGATGTGAATGGCCCAGTGTCGAAAAATTTCCCAACCAGAGCTAACACTCCATCTTGGAACATTATGGCATCTTGCAGTAGCACCTGTTTGAATTCCTCCTAAAATAAATGATCAAACCTATAAATAGACTTCGAATCTTCCAGACGACACGATAGATAAACGCAAGAAATTTATTGGACAAAAGAAATTTCGTTCCAAGTTCGTTCGCAAGCGAACACTCGCCTTCTTTTGCCTCAACATGTCCGCGGATTCTTCGAGCAGAGCCAGATACGCGTTCCAGGCTAGCTGTACGTCGTGCACTTTTCGCTTGAAATCGTACGTCATGCTCACTTCGTACTTCTCTGTAGAAGAGAAAGAAGAACGAGTCGAAATGACGAAGGAGAGGAAAGGAGAAACGAATAACAATTAAACTCAGCAGGCGGAATAAAAAGAAGCCAAATCACTGATCACTGATCACGGATCTATTGGTCTTTCGTTCGCCTTCCAGAAGGTTAAGAATCGTTTAAAATTAAAAATCGTTTACCCAAAGTCTGGTACTGATCGTGGATCTTCGGGAATTCGTCCTCCTCGCGAGGAATATCGGCGTGCAGCTTCTCGAACAACTGTATCGCGTATTGCATGCTGATGATATCCGTCGGCTCTTTCGTTATTCTGCGAATTAATGAATTTATTACTAGATTGCGACTAAATTTAGTAGGGATTTGTGAAAGTGAAAACAGCATTCGCATTTGTCGCAATTATTTAGGACTTATGGTTCCGCGACGAATGAATATAAACTGCATACAGAATAAATCATGCTCAGGGGTAAATATAGAGTTCGAATGCTAAAGAGTAGCGTTGTGAAGAATTTCCTTTTATTTCGCCATGCACTTGTAAATTGTATAACGAGAGATAATAATTAATAGAAATCTCCCATTGTTAGATTTAGTTACGCCTTAATTATATATATATATTTTTAACACTACAATTAGAATGATCGAAATGACCAGTTCGAAATTTTTCACTGAAATTTCACAGGCTATTGTACAGTATATTTGTAAATTATATAACGAGATGTAATAATTAATAGAAATCTCTCATTGTTAGATTTAGTTACGCCTTAATTATATTTTTTCTTTTTTTTTTTTTAACACTACAATCAGAA